CGTTTTAGACAAGAAATGAACCTGCATATTGCTTTTTTATTTAGATCACTCACTCAAGTGAATAAAATATGGGATATCATCTAAGTTTATCCTGAATTAGACCTAAAGTCGGCAGTAATTACCTCTTTCTCTCAAATGCGGTAAACTGGAGTCGTTTTTTCTATAGATAATTACATACAAATTCTTCAGAGAAAAAAGGTCTATTATCACGCATTCCATACATCCCAGTGAATGCCCTATAACGAACCAATTGGTGCGTGCTGGCAATAATACCAGCAAAAGCGAAACTGTGTAACTGAGTTTGCGAACAGTAAAAGCAAGAGATAGGGCGAGCTGGACTTGATACGCTTCAAATTAGTTTTAAAGTATGAAAGCAAGGACCACATTAACCAATTCCAATTCCACTGATTTTTCCGCGGTTCAATGAATCACTTATAGAATAGGCGGTTGGTTGTGCAGATTCGCTGAAACTACTGGTCGATTAAGCTACACATGTGTGTTGCAAGGTGATCACTTGGATTAAGAACGGCAAACTGCAAATGTAAGCCATCATGAGGGATTGGTCAAGATCCCAAGTACGGTATGAAAACGATTAATGTCTATTAAACTGTTGCCTAATCTATTGATAGATATATGCATATTCCTTCTCTTTGTCCCATTTTAAAAGCTCACGGGTAGTATCGAGGACGAAGTTGGTTCAATGTTTATTCCATCTTCTCGCCAGCCACATGATTATTTTCATTTGAGGCTTGGATACAAACAAAAGGCTGTGTAGTTTGTTTTTGTGGTACACCTAGTTATGTTTTTAGTAACTATATGTTTTCGAAAATAATCCGATCTGGTTTGTTTTCAAACACCTGGTCTATATCAGCAACATTGAAGCAGTGGAAGGTGTTGCACATGCTTTAACCAATGAATCTCATTATATCTCGCATCACCTAAAAACATGTATATATATTCATCGTTACTACATTTTACCCATTTTTAGATCGTTCAGGCAAATGTCAATACTGCCATCATGGTTCCCAACTGCTTGTAAACAGATTCAGTAGGGTTGATTGTGGACGCCATGTCCCGTTTCCATTTCAGTATAATCTGTAAAAATACTTGTAGTTTCATGTGGCCGACTATAAGTCGATATCGGTTCTAGCTATCTAATAACATAATTTGTCGGTCGAAAACTAGTGAAATAACATCCGTTTAAATCACAGAATAAACCCATAGTCCT